CATATGATCAGTGGCTCGGGGATTCCACTCCGCGGCCTCCACTGTCGGCGGAAGGGAAGGGGGAGTCTGCTGCTGCTACTGTTGTGGAGGAGCAGGGGGCAACCCACGACCTCTCCCGCTTTGCTGCTGAGCGGAAGATGCCCTGGATCCCCGACCGAGGCCATCGTGCCGATGCTTGACCCTTCTCTCCTCTTCTACCTGAGGATCCCGGTCACGCACTTGGCCCCGACTGAGAACTCTAGAGGATGGGGCGGAGCTGGTCCCCGCAGATGAAGCGCTGCCGGTCGATCCACGACCCCTCCCGGCTGCAAGGGCTTGCCTCTGTCTCAGGAACCCCAGGTCGATGCGAGGCGTGCTGGACATCGCGACCTCTAGGGCGTCCTCGGCGTCTAAGGATTGAAGAACTTGGAAGTCTGGCCACAAGTCTCCTCCCGAAGTCCCCACCTCGGCGTCCGAAGGAACAACGTCCTCTTTGACCCCGAGCTCTTCAGCAACTCCCTCTACCTCTGCTTCCGAAGCCCGATCCGGGTCTTCCTCCAAGTTTTCCTCAACCTCTAACCTCGCCGCCTGATCGAAGAGTTCAGACCACCGCGAAGGCTCAAAAGGCTGAGGACGCTGTGAAAATTTCTTATACCCGGGGGTATAACTCAGCAGGATGTGGGCAGCCCGACCAAACCCGTCGTCACCCGTGAATCTCCAAACCGTGATTAGATCGACAAAGTTCACCAGCGACCGAGGGGGAGGAGCTGTTTCCCGAGCAGGAATATCTGCACAAACAAAAAAGTAGTCATGAACATGGGAAGTCTGGAGAAAGAAATAATAAACCCAAAGGAACCGACGTACTTGTCGTTCTCCATTCCAGAGGGCATAACAAGTCATTATACTCGGGACCAACACCTCTCTGCCAAGATCCCTTGAAGATAAAAATGTCATCTTTGTACCCCTTGTCCGAGTTGGGAAGATGAGTTACAAGGTACATGGAGGGGTCCCTGGCTTTGAGGTAGAAGTGTTGGTGAGACATGACTCTCAGGAGGGAATAACAAAAAAGGAGATCGTTGAGCCCAATATTTACCCCGAGGCGCCTATTGAGCTCTAAGACCCCCATAATTATTCGGAAAACATTAAGGCAACATTGCCCGGGGAAGAGGCGGAAGTGAGAAAGGAACTGAAGAAGTAAGGGGGTAAAGGAAACCTAATTCCTCCCTCTACTACGGCCTTGGTATAGAAGGGCATGCCATCCTCGGCCCCGAGGGTAGAAGAGTGCAACACCGGGTCAAAATCCTCTATATCTACGCACGGGGAAATACCGTATTTGACCTTAAACCTATCGATCTGCTCACTACCCTTTACTTTATACTTCCCCGACCCCGAAGAACCAGCCTGAGGATTCTCGGGAGCAGGGCGACGACGAGGCATCTCTAAAAAAGTGAGAAAGAAGAGGGTATTTGTTCTTGGAAATCCCTGAGGAAGTTTCCCGAGGGTTAAATCGCTACGTGTCAACCGGAGACACCTCCAGTCATCGGAAAACAAAAGGATAGGAGGAAGAAAAGAAGGAAGATACTGGAACTCACCCGAATGTCAAAACGGAGTTTTTTCTGGAAAACCTTAAAGCGACTCCTTCCAGAAAGTTCAGAAGCAACGATGGGTCTGCTGGCTTTAAGACTTTAAGGAAGAATGGGCAATCGACGATGGAAGAAGAAAGAAATCTCCGACGAAGATTCAAGAAGAGGCTCTCTTGAGGAAGTTCGGAATGGCAAAACAAGGAAAACGGAAGAGGAGCCCCCTTTATATAGAGGCAATTTTCATCATTGGGCGCGAAAAACGAAACGGCGCATTTAATGCGCACGACATCCCAAGCCGGGGAAAGCGGCTCGAGGCAATGATGAAGCACTGGTGGTAGTTGGGAAACCCTTCGTCTCCTTACGACGCGTGTCCTCGGTGTCAGAAGATCGAAGGCTGGGGGGCAGTTGATGGGACTTTTCTGAGATACCCTATGATGAAGACACGTGTCCTCGGTTTTACTAAAACACTGTTGCTAAGATCAAGCACCATCGGCGCACAAAGTCCTCGCCCCCGAGGTACTCGTCATATAGGATCATGCATTCAGTATGTTTTACAACCGACACGTGGCCTCGGTCTGATATGGTACCTCGGTCGGTATACCTCCCTCGGTTCCGAGATGAGCCTTTCCTCGGTGCCGAGAGGTACCCCGTCCTGGACGCTTCCTCTACTCCAGGATAAGCTATTGACGTACAGGTCATTAGCCTAGGCTAGTCTAGGCTATTCATCATGACCTCGTCTTACACAATTAGTGTCAGAACGTACTGGAATGCAGGGGCCACAGCCAATGGGGGATGGACGCGTGGCATATGATATCACATCGAAGACAGAGAAACCGCATGCCGTTGCTGACACGCGACTTGGGAAAGCAAACGATTAATTACACCATTCCCTTGATGAGACCGCATTCAATGCGGTAAGGCTCGGAAATGAAAGACAATAAATGCTCCTAATACAGAGCATTTATTGCATCCTCCCCGAGAGGAGTACATTGTACCGTCGGCATCCCGATGACCCAGCATTGATTGCTCGGGACCCCGAGCAGTTAAGAAGAGAAGACATTCCTCATCAGAATCAGTGCGCACACTGCCTGTACCTAATGATCACCTACTGACTACACTGACAGCAATCATGAGCTTTTGAGGTATAAATACTCCTTGCAAAAGGCAAGACGGGTATGCAACAAAAAACTCTTTACTACAATACACACTCAGTGTTTTCTCCTTCCTCTCTCTTTCTCAAAGACTGACTAGATCGTCGGAGGGGATACGCCGGAAAACACTCCGGCGCCCTTCTAACTTGATTCTTCTTTGTTCCAGGATCCTCTTTCAGCCTTATTGGATCGTTCTTCCGCTCCCCCAGGGTCTCCCGTTTCCGTTCCAGGTTACCACCGGACCTCGCAGGCTGTCCCAAGCAGCGCGGTTGGTCACTCAACTGGCTCACTCGAAGTTCACCAAGGGAGAGATCTGTTCTCGTTTTTTATATTGTGCAGGATCTTGCACGCACAAGAATGTTATGGTTGTTCAAGCCGTAACGAGCAAGTTGTGGTCCCTATTCCATGCACTGCCAGACACACGGACTTGGGTATAGAATGGAGTTAACCACGCAACCACTAAATCACATCATTAAGGAAGAGATTGGGAAGCAATGGCTAGTGAGCCTATTTGGCTGAAAACCTTACTAAGTGAGCTTGGAGTTGAGGTGTCTCATGTTATGATAATATTCTTTGATAATCAAGCAACAACTCACATTGTCTCTAATATGATTTTTCATGAGTGAACCTTTGAAGTCGTCTCAGAACATTTTTTCGCTGAATGGGAGACTTCTTAGAATGACATCCCTTACTCTATTCTTTCGTAAAGTCAGAATGGTGGGATGACTGCCATACTAGGAGGGCATCCCTTGCTCAATTCCTTCCTAAGGTCAAGAATGACGGGATGAAACTCCTTCATTATTAGAGTGAGTGCTCCATATCAATTGGTCACTTCACTCGTTTAAGAGATAATTTACAAAGTCAAAGTTAAAATATAACAAAAACAAGATAGATTGATTGGGGGACTTTATTTATTTTTTTAGGGATTGATTACACTATTAATCGTATTTAGTACTCAATTTATTTTCTTATATATATTTAAATCTACAAAATATTTAACAAACAATTATACTTAATTTACAAAACTCTTGTTTGTAATGAAATTTAAAAGAAATAAATAATAGATAATATTACATAATGTTGAAAAGAGTGTTGTGTATTACCATTATAGAATTGTGTGCCACCAGCTTATCCATACGTCAACAGACTAATGGTGACAATTAACCTCTAGTACTGAAATATAATGTTTTTAGTACAATACCAAAAGTTAAAAAATTAGATAAAAAAAGATATAATATTAATTTTTTTTTTTTATATATGTAGTCTAGCCCCCGGAAAAATACATGACAAACCAAGCAGATCGTGACATTTTCCCACCCAATAATGAATTGTAACGTGGGAGATTCGTATTGTATTAAAATTTATCAACAACTTATTTATAATAATAATTAAAAATATTTTTGTTGTATCTATAATTCATACATGATCGAATTTGTGTCAATTTATTTATTTATTATTTATTATATTTGACGAGGTCAATTTGATTTTAACCATCTTTACCTTAGTGAATGAGTAATCCTATTTGTAACGTGGAGGTTTTCAGTTCGATTGTGCTCCGTCTTAGATTATTATTATATTTGATGATACATAAATTAAGTTTGTACATTACCTGTCAGATGAGCAGTAATAAATATAATAATTAAGAGGTAAGAGATAGAGACACAAACTAAGACAAAAATTTATAATGGTTTTGGTCAACATGACCTATGTCTACTTTGATGGTTAGAATCGTCGAGGTATTTTATTACTTCAAGTGTGTAGGAAGAACAAAGAGATACAAACTAATCTTATGGAGTTGGTGATCTCTTCTCAACGGACGAGGTAGTTACGATGCTGTCTATAAGATTCGATCAAAGGATGAGGTGGTAATTGAGTTCTTTCAAGGCGGCGTGAATAAGACTCTTGGGATGACCCTTACTCCAAGATGGCTAGAAGGAGACTCTTAGAGACCCTACTTACTCCATTGACAAGCTTGATCGGGTGTGAACCCCTTTGGACTGGATATCGAATCTTTACAAATTTTTAGCTTTTAATTAAGATTGAGCTTGTAGTATGAGTTGGCCCTTGGACCATCAATATCTAAACATATTAAAATATTTAATGTCAAATTCATACTCAATAATTCGTTTATAAATTTAGAACCGGGACCAAGAGTTGTGGGACCCACAAAAAAACAAAGTTTATGTGCACCAATGGGCATTTTGGGTAATTCACATAATTCGAACTGGTGTACTCTCTAAGTCACAGTTTTTAGTTATTCATAACGACTTAGCGCCACAAACAATTGTAATTTTCATTCCCTCTCCCTCATTATATCTTCTTCACACAAAATTGGAAAAAACTCCAACCGCAACTTTTTTTTGGGGGGATTCAGAGGGCTCTTAGCTTGAAATTACACACACAGATTGTTCAACTCTTACCAACAGGTATGCAAATTTCAAATCTCATATTACTTAAATGCAAGAACAGTATCGAACAAATCAATTTGATCTTACTGATTCGATTATTTCCAAAAATGATTCGATTTAGCAAGTAGTTTCCGTTAGTGTTTACGCTTTTGGATTTGGCAGTATCGACCAATTTTTCCTTTTCTTGCTCAATATTTGGATCTCTCTCTCTCTCTCTCTCTCTCTCTCTCTATATATATATATATATATATATATATTTCTGAAGATCAGGCATGAATGTTGAATTCAAGATAGCTGAAGTATATGTCATGCTAATGAACTTCATCATTATCGTTCTCTTTTTTCCCATGAAGATACTTCTGAGACATTGTTCTGATCAGAAAATGAATTTTTATTCGTTAAGCATAGTAGATCAATGGAATTGAGAGGAATATATTGGCCTATTATATCTTAAAATAAATAAGTTATGGAGATTTTTGAGCTTCTGAAAGCTTCAGGAAACATTGCTTAAGCTCCCAAATTTGAGATGATCAAGGCCTTTCCATGATAAAGATGCATCATATAGGCGTCCAAGCTACCCTTTAATGCTCTGTATTCACTATAATGCTCTAATCTCTATTGTGGGAACGTAAGAGTTGTCTATAGCTAATCTTTTCTTGTCTCTTTTAATGACAGAAATCTCGTGTGCTAAGACTTTTACTTCTTATGTTACATTTGTCATCCAGTTGGATAGTTTAATTGGAGGGGAAGACTTGAAGGGTTACTACATCGAAGAAACTGTTTTGTTTATACGTGCATATATAGTACATAGATAATTATGTGTATCTTAATTTTATTTTGCAGTCATGATTTAAGAGTGCCCGTGATTAGGATAATTTTTCATTATCAAAACCCAAAAAAAAGAGTGCACTAGTCCACTTATGCTTCTTTTAAAATTAATTCAAGATTTTATAAATGGTAAATTTAGGTTTAGAGTTGTTGTTATTAGAATTTGATCAAGTTTACATGTTCAACAAAACCTAAACAGTCTTTATTCTAACTTTTTGATGTCGAACTATATGAATTCAATTTTTTTTATTATACTCTATACAGAATTACATTTTCCGTCTCATTAAAAGTCAATTTCTTGTTAAATTCTACAATAAATAATTAAGCACAGTGCCATTTTCTACCTTGTTGATCATCTTGCTAGTCTGATATTATGTACATGTGACAGGGGATAATACAAGTAGTTGAAGATGGCTTCTTCAACTTTAAAAGGCATGCTCATTAGATCCATAGATGATGCCTATGCTCAAAGACTACTGAAGGAAAAATATGCCTATGCCTATGCTCAAAGACTACTGAAGGAAAAATATGTAGACCGGGTTGATGTTCTCAGGGTGAACTGTCCTTCCCTTAATGTGAACCGGTGGTCCGGTCGGGTTCGGTTCACTCGGTGCCAGGACTCCCACATCAATTCCAATGGGTTCACCAACTCCAAGCCCAGAAGACCCATACCTTCAATTCGGTCCCAAGCCATCCTCACTCCAGTATCAGACCCTACCCCAACCACAAACAAGGTAAGCTCATCTGCTACTCTCACTCATGAAAACCTTTTTAGTTCTACAATCGGAAGCATGTTTGGATCAAGGATTCAAGTAGTATAAGAGAGATTGGGTGAAAATAGTCTAGGAGCCCACTCATCCGTTGTTTGGAGAAAATATTCAATGTCACGGTTATATTTCATCATGTATTGTGATATAAAAATTCAATAATAAGTGAATAAGTGAGTAAGAGAACACCACAATTTCAACAATTATCCATCCAAATAAGGCAATAACTACCCCGTGTTAAAAAAAGTGGGGTTGATTTTTTCTATTTTTTAAAATTTTTTGTTGAACAGTGACATCACGTAATATTATTGAAGTGATATAACCATTACATTGAATATATATTCCATTGTTTGGATAGTTTTCTTTGCCCCAAAAATTGGGTGGGATTTATTTCCCGGCCTGACGACATTTAGAGTTGTCCAAATGTCACTTGTATGGGTATACTTTATGCCATTTCATAGTTGGTATAAATGGGCACCACAAAAAAATAAAAAAAAATAAATAAATAAATAAATGGGCACCACAGGATATTTATCTAATAAAATACGTAGTTCTATACAAAGCACAATAACAATCTAAATCGTTGAGATTTGATACATAAAAAATGAGCATGCCTCTTCCAGCCATATGTTTGAAACAAACATGTCCTTCAAAGGGTATTCAAGACAATTGACCACATGCATTTACAATAAAACATCCAAAAATAGTACACAATTGTAAAAGGGAAGTGAACCGATGGCTTTTGAAATGGGCTGGACTGGAAGTCCAATCCATCCAACCACATCCTTGACCTTTTTTTTTTTTTTGAACTGGACATCCTTGACCTTGAAACAAGCAAGTTAGCGAGAGGCAGATTTAGGATCTGGGTTCAGGGAGGATAAATTCTTTAGACAGCATTTTAAGAACTTAAAAAAAAAGAAAGGATTACATCTAGATTTCTAAAGTTTGTTATTTAATTACTTAGATTCACTGATATGAGATTTGTATCACCGTAACACTTAGACTTTTGTCGTCAAATATTTGTTAGTAAATTATACCTAGACCTCTTAAAATTCGTAGGCATATAATGCTTAAACCACTCAATTTTAAAATTTTATATTTATACCACAAATATTCCAATCAAATATATAATATCAAATATTTTAAATTTTAGAATTAAAATTCATGTTCTATTGTATTATTTATTGAAATAAAATAAAAAATAGAAGTTAATTTTTTCTTAAAAAATCATAATTAGTATACCATTATACTATATATTATAATAAAATGAAAAAATCAAATAAGGGATTTAAGTCATTCATAATAGAATATGAACTATACAATCAATATTTATGTTCTATTATGTCATTTATTGAAATAAAATCAAAATTAAAAATTTATTTTTAAAAAAAAATCATAATTAGTATTCAATTATATTATCTATTAGAATAAAACTAAAAAATCAAATAAGGAGTCAAACTATAATGGACAAAATATATTCTAACTTAAATAAGGATAAATTGATAGTTTGGTTTGGTCGTTTAAACGATTAAATTAAATTTTAATAGATAATATAATTGTATGCTAATTAAAATTTTTTAAGAAAAAATATATTTTTATTTTTAATTTTATTTTAATAAATGTCATAATAGAATATGAATTTTTGATTATAAAATTTAAAATATTTGATTAGACTACTTTTGGTTTAAATATAACATTTTAAATTTAAAGGATCTAAGTATTACACGTCTAAAAATTTCAGGAAGTTTGGATATAATTTATTAACAGACATTAATGACAGAGGTCTAAGTATTAAATATGTATAAATTTTAGAGTTGTGTGTAATATTTCAAATGTCAAGAAATTTGAGTGATTAAGTGACAAATTTTAAAGAGTCTGACTATAATTCTACTTAAAAAAAAAAAAAAAGAGAAGAAGAAGAAGTGTAGGGAGACACAAATTTTATTTGCAATAATTATACGTAGTTCATGTCAAACTAAGAGACTTCTCAACCGGGACATGGGCCCGTTAACGAGGCAGAAGACATAAACTTGGCGCGAGGGCATATTAGTCATTTTCTATGATAGACGCAGTACAGTAATTGATCATGAATCATGCATGTACCTTGAAATGTGTCACGTCTATATATGGGAATCATGCATGTACCATGAAATGTGTCACGTCTAATATTTTTTATTTTATGATTATTTTTTTAATTAATAATTATAAATTATTCAATTCTTGGCTCTCACGTCGAGACCGTAGAGTCAAGACAACAGGCTTGAAGTTGGTATAGTGAGTCATCTCCATATTGCATGAGCTTGCCACGTGACAATTGCTATGCAGGTGTCAAATCGCTCACCAGCATGAACACCCTTATAGAAATGGTGTCTCTTCAGACAAAATTACTGAAACCAGTTTTGAGTTCACTCTTCTTTAACAGACCAACTTCTTGTCTTTGCAGCCATGCAGGTAAGTGTCGTAAGTGTTGTGTTCCTGAGATCTCTATACTAACATTATGTTTGGTTTGAAGGAAAAAGGGGTGGATGAAAAATTGGGGAAAGAAAATGGGATAAATGGAAAAGTTTTTCATTCTTTGGTATCAAAGAAAAAGGAAAGAAGGATGAAAAGGAAAATTGGAGGGAGGACTTTTTCCTCCGGTCCACAATTTGCTTTTCCCAAAAAATGGGTGAAAAATGAGAAAAAGGCATAATAATTTGACTTTTAAAAGATTATTTGACTTTTTTATCTTTTGTATAATATGCATGTATATTGTTGACTCTGTCTACTTTTTTATCTGTTTCATACACAAAAAAAAAAATAATTATTTTTATTTTTCATCTATGCGACGAAATACAAAAGAAAAAAATGTATAATTCATGCTTTTCTTCGTTAGGGGATAAAAAAATATATTTTTCATACTTTTCATCCCTCCGACCAATCAAACGTTTTACCTGGAATTAGATCGTAACATCCAGTTTACTTCCCTTTAATGGGATCCGAAGGCGGACCATTATTTGCGGTTCCTTTCGAATTCAAACATGACAAGGTGGTATACTATATTTAAACTCTCGATTACCCCTAAAACCTTATGTTGTTCAAACATGACAAGGTGGAAGAAACAACCAAGGGTATGTTGATATCAAAGAAAAGACTCGCACTATATAATGGTACCCAGTACTCAATGCTCTTGGTTATAATGTGACACTTTATTCTAATTTGGAAAGGTTGATTCTTGGACTCGAACGCACTGCATATTGCCTAGATTAATGAGCAATGGTTGTCGCTTCTTCTGGGCTTACAATATATATCAAGCTTTAACACACCTTCAAACTCAATTGCATGGAATATTTTTTTTGAATCATTATTTTTCAGTTTTTTAANTAAAAAAAAAGAAAGGATTACATCTAGATTTCTAAAGTTTGTTATTTAATTACTTAGATTCACTGATATTTAAAATATTACATACAAATCCTCTGAGATTTGTATCACCGTAACACTTAGACTTTTGTCGTCAAATATTTGTTAGTAAATTATACCTAGACATCTTAAAATTCGTAGGCATATAATGCTTAAACCACTCAATTTTAAAATTTTATATTTATACCACAAATATTCCAATCAAATATATAATATCAAATATTTTAAATTTTAGAATTAAAATTCATGTTCTATTGTATTATTTATTGAAATAAAATAAAAAATAGAAGTTAATTTTTTCTTAAAAAATCATAATTAGTATACCATTATACTATATATTATAATAAAATGAAAAAATCAAATAAGGGATTTAAGTCATTCATAATAGAATATGAACTATACAATCAATATTTATGTTCTATTATGTCATTTATTGAAATAAAATCAAAATTAAAAATTTATTTTTAAAAAAAAATCATAATTAGTATTCAATTATATTATCTATTAGAATAAAACTAAAAAATCAAATAAGGAGTCAAACTATAATGGACAAAATATATTCTAACTTAAATAAGGATAAATTGATAGTTTGGTTTGGTCGTTTAAACGATTAAATTAAATTTTAATAGATAATATAATTGTATGCTAATTAAAATTTTTTAAGAAAAAATATATTTTTATTTTTAATTTTATTTTAATAAATGTCATAATAGAATATGAATTTTTGATTATAAAATTTAAAATATTTGATTAGACTACTTTTGGTTTAAATATAACATTTTAAATTTAAAGGATCTAAGTATTACACGTCTAAAAATTTCAGGAAGTTTGGATATAATTTATTAACAGACATTAATGACAGAGGTCTAAGTATTAAATATGTATAAATTTTAGAGTTGTGTGTAATATTTCAAATGTCAAGAAATTTGAGTGATTAAGTGACAAATTTTAAAGAGTCTGACTATAATTCTACTTAAAAAAAAAAAAAAAGAGAAGAAGAAGAAGTGTAGGGAGACACAAATTTTATTTGCAATAATTATACGTAGTTCATGTCAAACTAAGAGACTTCTCAACCGGGACATGGGCCCGTTAACGAGGCAGAAGACATAAACTTGGCGCGAGGGCATATTAGTCATTTTCTATGATAGACGCAGTACAGTAATTGATCATGAATCATGCATGTACCTTGAAATGTGTCACGTCTATATATGGGAATCATGCATGTACCATGAAATGTGTCACGTCTAATATTTTTTATTTTATGATTATTTTTTTAATTAATAATTATAAATTATTCAATTCTTGGCTCTCACGTCGAGACCGTAGAGTCAAGACAACAGGCTTGAAGTTGGTATAGTGAGTCATCTCCATATTGCATGAGCTTGCCACGTGACAATTGCTATGCAGGTGTCAAATCGCTCACCAGCATGAACACCCTTATAGAAATGGTGTCTCTTCAGACAAAATTACTGAAACCAGTTTTGAGTTCACTCTTCTTTAACAGACCAACTTCTTGTCTTTGCAGCCATGCAGGTAAGTGTCGTAAGTGTTGTGTTCCTGAGATCTCTATACTAACATTATGTTTGGTTTGAAGGAAAAAGGGGTGGATGAAAAATTGGGGAAAGAAAATGGGATAAATGGAAAAGTTTTTCATTCTTTGGTATCAAAGAAAAAGGAAAGAAGGATGAAAAGGAAAATTGGAGGGAGGACTTTTTCCTCCGGTCCACAATTTGCTTTTCCCAAAAAATGGGTGAAAAATGAGAAAAAGGCATAATAATTTGACTTTTAAAAGATTATTTGACTTTTTTATCTTTTGTATAATATGCATGTATATTGTTGACTCTGTCTACTTTTTTATCTGTTTCATACACAAAAAAAAAAATAATTATTTTTATTTTTCATCTATGCGACGAAATACAAAAGAAAAAAATGTATAATTCATGCTTTTCTTCGTTAGGGGATAAAAAAATATATTTTTCATACTTTTCATCCCTCCGACCAATCAAACGTTTTACCTGGAATTAGATCGTAACATCCAGTTTACTTCCCTTTAATGGGATCCGAAGGCGGACCATTATTTGCGGTTCCTTTCGAATTCAAACATGACAAGGTGGTATACTATATTTAAACTCTCGATTACCCCTAAAACCTTATGTTGTTCAAACATGACAAGGTGGAAGAAACAACCAAGGGTATGTTGATATCAAAGAAAAGACTCGCACTATATAATGGTACCCAGTACTCAATGCTCTTGGTTATAATGTGACACTTTATTCTAATTTGGAAAGGTTGATTCTTGGACTCGAACGCACTGCATATTGCCTAGATTAATGAGCAATGGCTGTCGCTTCTTCTGGGCTTACAATATATATCAAGCTTTAACACACCTTCAAACTCAATTGCATGGAATATTTTTTTTGAATCATTATTTTTCAGTTTTTTAATCTCTTGTAATGATTTCTACAATGACAAGATGACTACTACTCTTTTTTTATTTTGTTGGCACAGAGAGTATTCACTTTTGGAAAAGGTAGGACTGAAGGCAACAAGGGCATGAAGTCCTTGGTAAGTAATCTCCATCTCTGTACATCTAAGAAATCCATGTTTTTCTTTGTTTCTTTCNTGTAATGATTTCTACAATGACAAGATGACTACTACTCTTTTTTTATTTTGTTGGCACAGAGAGTATTCACTTTTGGAAAAGGTAGGACTGAAGGCAACAAGGGCATGAAGTCCTTGGTAAGTAATCTCCATCTCTGTACATCTAAGAAACCCATGTTTTTCTTTGCTTCTTTTNATTTTTTCTTAAAAAATCATAATTAGTATACCATTATACTATATATTATAATAAAATAAAAAAAAATCAAATAATGGATTTAAGTCATTCATAATAGAATATGAACTTTACAATCAATATTTATGTTCTATTATGTCATTTATTGAAATAAAATCAAAATTAAAAATTTATTTTTTTAAAAAAATCATAATTAGTATTCAATTATATTATCTATTAGAATAAAACTAAAAAATCAAATAAGGAGTTAAACTATAATAGACAAAATATATTCTAACTTTAATAAGGATAAATTGATAGTTTGGTTTGGTCGTTTAAACGATTAAATTAAATTTTAATAGATAATATAATTGTATGTTAATTAAAATTTTTTAAGAAAAAAAAGATTTTTATTTTTAATTTTATTTTAATAAATGTCATAATAGAACATGAATTTTTGATTATAAAATTTAAAATATTTGATTAGACTACTTTTGGTTTAAATATAACATTTTAAATTTGAAGGATCTAAGTATTACACGTCTATAAATTTCAGGAAGTTTGAATATAATTTATTAACAGACATTAATGACAGAGGTCTAAGTATTAAATATGTATAAATTTTAGAGAATTTGTGTGTAATATTTCAAATGTCAAAAAATTTGAGTGATTAAGTGACAAATTTTAAAGAGTCTGAGTATAATTCTACTTAAAAAAAACAAAGAGAAGAAGAAGATGTGTAGGGAGACACAAATTTTATTTGCAATAATTATACGAAGTTCATGTCAAACTAAGGGACTTCTCAACCGGGACATGGGCCCGTTAACGAGGCAGAAGACATAAACTTGGCGCGAGGGCATATTAGTCATTTTCTATGATAGACGCAGTACAGTAATTGATCATGAATCATGCATGTACCTTGAAATGTGTCACGTCTATATATGGGAATCATAAATGTACCATGAAATGTGTCACGTCTAATATTTTTTATTTTATGATTATTTTTTTAATTAATAATTATAAATTATTCAATTCTTGGCTCCCACGTCGAGACCGTAGAGTCAAGACAACAGGCTTGAAGTTGGTATAGTGAGTCATCTCCATATTGCATGAGCTTGCCACGTGACAATTGCTATGCAGGTGTCAAATCGCTCACCAGCATGAACACCCTTATAGAAATGGTGTCTCTTCAGACAAAATTACTGAAACCAGTTTTGAGTTCACTCTTCTTTAACAGACCAACTTCTTTGTCTTTGCAGCCATGCAGGTAAGTGTCGTAAGTGTTGTGTTCCTGAGATCTCTATACTAACATTATGTTTGGTTTGAAGGAAAAAGGGGTGGATGAAAAATTGGGGAAAGGAAATGGGGTAAATGAAAAAGTTTTTCATTCTTTGGTATCAAAGAAAAAGGAAAGAAGGATGAAAAGGAAAATTGGAGGGAGGACTTTTTCCTCTGGTCCACAATTTGCTTTTCCCAAAAAATGGGTGAAAAATGAGAAAAAAGCATAATAATTTGACTTTTAAAAGATTATTTTATTTTTTTATCTTTTGTATAATATGCATGTATATTGTTGACTCTGTCTATTTTTTCATCTGTTTCATACACAAAAAAAATAATTATTTTTATTTTTCATCTATGCGACCAAATACAAAAGAAAAAAATGTATAATTCATGCTTTTCTCCGTTAGGGGATAAAAAAATATATTTCTCGTACTTTTTATCCCTCCGACCAATCAAACGTTTTACCTGGAATTAGATCGTAACATCCAGTTTACTTCCCTTTAATGGGGTCCGAAGGCGGACCATTATTTGCGGTTCCTTTCAAATTCAAACATGACAAGGTGGTATACTATATTTAAACTCTCGATTACCCCTAAAACCTTATGTTGTTCAAACATGACAAGGTGGAAGAAACAACCAAGGGTATGTTGATATCAAAGAAAAGACTCGCACTATATAATGGTACCCAGTACTCAATGCTCTTGGTTATAATGTGACACTTTATTCTAATTTGGAAAGGTTGATTCTTGGACTCGAACGCACTGCATATTGCCTAGATTAATGAGCAATGGTTGTCGCTTCTTCTGGGCTTACAATATATATCAAGCTTTAACACACCTTCAAACTCAATTGCATGGAATATTTTTTTTGAATCATTATTTTTCAGTTTTTTAATCTCTTGTAATGATTTCTACAATGACAAGATGACTACTACTCTTTTTTTATTTTGTTGGCACAGAGAGTATTCACTTTTGGAAAAGGTAGGACTGAAGGCAACAAGGGCATGAAGTCCTTGGTAAGTAATCTCCATCTCTGTACATCTAAGAAACCCATGTTTTTCTTTGCTTCTTTTCTTTCCTTTTGTCATTGTTTCAACTTTGCTCGTTTCAATAACATTGTGGGTATTTAGTAATTTCTCATCCTATAAAAGTTGTGGTTTTGTGTATAACTTAGGTTGGTAATTTTCAATTTCACTTTCAGGAATCAAAGTCAATTGTCTTTCCTAATATTCAAGTCAAAACAACAAATAGTGCTAGTTGATGCAAGCTCATTCTTGAAGTGGAAAGTTTTGCTGCTTTGATTTGTACAAAATAGGCTGCTTTGACTTGCACTATTGGGTTGTTTTGACTTGCAGGCTTAAAAAAATGAACTGAATTTCTTGCTAATTAAGTTGCCAATTGTTGTCCAGAAAAGGTACATTCTCCATTGCTAAGGCCCAATCCCTTAATTACACCTCCATTTAACTGGGTTAAAATGATGTATGAAAAATCAATGCAAAAATAATTGCTACTGATGGACATGCGTATGCATTGGAGCCATTTGACCGGGACACTGAAAGCATGTGTGATGTGGCAGTGTCATTGTTACTTTGATGTTTTGATAAAAAATTATTAAGTGATGCAATACCTAAAATGTGATAAACTCATCACATATCACATTTTCTTATTTTGATGGTTTCATGAAAATCCTAAAAATAAACGCNGACTTCTCAACCGGGACATGGGCCCGTTAACGAGGCAGAAGACATAAACTTGGCGCGAGGGCATATTAGTCATTTTCTATGATAGACGCAGTACAGTAATTGATCATGAATCATGCATGTACCTTGAAATGTGTCACGTCTATATATGTGAATCATAAATGTACCATGAAATGTGTCACGTCTAATATTTTTTATTTTATGATTATTTTTTTAATTAATAATTATAAATTATTCAATTCTTGGCTCCCACGTCGAGACCGTAGAGTCAAGACAACAGGCTTGAAGTTGGTATAGTGAGTCATCTCCATATTGCATGAGCTTGCCACGTGACAATTGCTATGCAGGTGTCAAATCGCTCACCAGCATGAACACCCTTATAGAAATGGTGTCTCTTCAGACAAAATTACTGAAACCAGTTTTGAGTTCACTCTTCTTTAACAGACCAACTTCTTTGTCTTTGCAGCCATGCAGGTAAGTGTCGTAAGTGTTGTGTTCCTGAGATCTCTATACTAACATTATGTTTGGTTTGAAGGAAAAAGGGGTGGATGAAAAATTGGGGAAAG